ATCTTCACAACACCAACTCCTCTCAAACCCTAGTTCATCTCTTGTGTTCAATCTTTGTACCAAAACTATAGATTGGTGCTTGTGGGTGACTAGTAGTGTTGATTACATCTTGTAGTTGATTACTATATGGTTTATTTTGTGAAAGATTATATGTTCAGATCCATTATGCTATTTAATACCCCTCTGATCTTGAGCATGTTTATCATTTATGACTAGTTACTTTCGTTCTTGAGGTCACGGGAGAAATCATGTTGCAAGTAATCATGTGAACTTGATATGTGTTCGATATTTTGATTATATGTATGTTGTCATTCTCTTAGTGGTGTCATGTGAATGTCGACTACATGACACTTCACCATATTTGGGCCTAAGGGAATGCATTGTGGAGTAGTTATTAGATGGTGGGTTGCGAGAGTGACAAAAGCAACCCCAGTTTATGCGCTATTCCGTAAGGGACCGATTGGATCCAAAAGTTTAATGCTATGGTTAGAATTTATTCTTAATACTTTTCTCGTAGTTGTAGATGCTTGCGAGAGGGTTAATCATAAGTAGGAGGTTTTTTCAAGTAAGAACATCACCTAAGCACCGGTCCACCAACATATCAAATTATCAAAGTACCGAACACGAATTAAGCCAACATGATGAAAGTGACTAGATGAAATTCCCGTGTACCCTCAAGAACACTTTGCTTATCATAAGAGATCATTTTGGCCTGTCCTTTGTATCAAAAGGATTGGGCTACCTTGCTGCACTTTTGTTACTACTATCGTTACTTGCTCGTTACAAATTATCTCACTATCAAACTACTCGGATACTTACATTTTTAGCACTTGCAGACATTACCTTGCTGAAAACCACTTGTCGTTTCCTTCTGCTCCTCGTTGGGTTCGACACTCTTACTTATTGAAAAGGCTAAAATTGACCCCATATACTTGTGGTTCATCAGAGCATCTCCAGTCGCGCCCCCAACAGGCCCTCCCAGGCGTTTTTGCCGCGCCGGCGCCGAAAAAATGGCCCAGTCGCCCCCCCCCCAGAAGCCCTTTTTTGCCGGCTCGGGCCAAAACTGGTGCCGGCGGACCCAGGCAGAACCCGACGCCCTGGGGGGCACTGGGGCACCGGCACAAGGGAAAAGGGTGTGTGGGTCCACCCTGTTGGTGAGTCGAGCACCTCTTCCCGTCATTTCTTCCCGCTTTTCCCCACTTCCCTCCCATTCTCTCCTTTCCTCCCGCCAGTCTCCCTCCCGCTCGCCTCCCAGCCGTCTGCCATGCCACCGAAGAAGTACGTCGTCCCCCGTGCCACGGCGAGCACGACCGCCTCCGCCACCCAGCCGAAGCAGAGGAAGCCGAGGGCGCCGCCGTCCAAGCCACCGGGCATGACAAACGCCGATTGGAGGGTGGAAATGCAGTGCAGGGAGGCCGTCACCGCCGACCGGTGGAACAGGGCCCTTGCCAAGAAGGCCCGTGACAACACAGCACGCGCGGCTGCGGCTGCCGCTGCCGCTGCCGCTTCGGCGGACCAGGCCGAGGCCGAGGCGACTCGCGCGGGGATGATGAATCCACCCGGCAACCACGCGCAGTACGCGCCTCGGGGCCAGCAAGGCGTGAGGTCTCCGTCGCTGCAGCCATGGGGATCGTCTTCGCCGGGCTATGCCGACGGGGATGCGCACGGTGGGCTCAACCCAAACGTCACTTTCCCCCATGGACACCCGACCCAGCGCACACCCTCGCCCGCCTTCGCCGGCGTGCAGTACCCTCCATACAACTACTCGCCACTCACGTACGCGCCCTCCCCGACACCCCCTCTCCGCCATTGCGCGCTGCCCTTCTCGCACCTCAGCGACGCCAACAAGACCGAGGCCGACATGGATGACATCATCGCGGAAGGTTCGACCTCGGCCGCCGCGTCTCCCGGGTTCACCGCGGATGAGAGGAGAAGGAGGAGCAGGAGGAGGAGGACGAGGAGGAGGAGGAGGAGGAGGAGAAGGAGGAGCTGGCGACTGCTCCGGCGAGGAGGCGCAAGAACAAGAAGTGGGCGGCCAGGTTAGGCGAGCCGCGCATCAAGTGGGCGTCCAAGGAGGAGGAATGCCTCGCCGAAGCATGGAAAATCGTCTGCCTCGACCCGACCACCGGCACGAACCAGAGCATCGAGACGTACTGCGAGCGCATCAAGGTCGAGTTCGACGAGCGCAAGCTCATCGACCCCTACTTCAACGGTGTCTACATGCAGCGCGGGGTGAAGGCGATGGCGTACCATTGGGGGCGTATCCAGGGGGCGTGGAAAAAATGGCATGGGGTCGTCGAGGAGGTCGCCGCTCGCCCGGAGAGCGGCGCCAACATTGAGGATCAGGTATGCCATGCCGGTCTCCCGCCTCTCTTCAGCTTGTGCGCCCGCCAACTATTTGTTCGTCCGCGCAGTTGCTGCGCATGTTCGGCCTGTATCGGCAGAGCAACAACGACGCCGAGTTCAAGTACCTTCACGTTTACAAGCGCATCGACAAGTGCGAGAAGTGGGTGGAAGTCCGGCGCCCCCTCGACAAGGCCAAGGAGATCTACAAGCCGGACGGGCCGACTTCGGGTGCGTCGGAAGGGCAGCCAGACGGCAACAAAGGTGCCAAGAAGGGGAAACACACCGACGCGGCCACCGCTCGCGTGCAGGAGTCCATCCAGCACTGCCTCGCCGACGCACAGGTCCGGGCCGCCCTTTGTGAAGAGAAGACCGAGGCGCGGTGGTCGGCGTTGATGTCGAGCAGCGCCGTCAAGCTCGACCTGCTCCGGACCAATGTCGCCACGAAGAAGAGGAACACCGACCTGGCTTTTCTGCTGGGCGGGCGGACATGCTCCAGAGCACCGACGAGGCGGTCAAGGCGTGGTACTTGGCGGAGCGTGGCCTCATCATGAACCAGCTTCCCTCGACGACGCTGCCCACGCCCACGCCGACACCGCCCACACCCACGCACACGCCGCCGCCGCCATGCCCGAGCGATGATGCCGTCGAGGCTGCCCGCAGCGCAGAAGCCACGCCGACGCCGCCAAGTACAGAGACCCCGTCAAGACCTCGCACGCCGACTCCGCCAACGCCGGAGGCCGACCTCGCTGCCTGATGCACGCTTCCGGCCTTTCTGTTTTTTTGTACGCCGAACTTTTCATCCGATCGCCGACCGACTGGCCGCTTGATTGCCAGATTGTGGCGTCTATTTTGTGCGCGGGAATAGACTATGTTTGAATTTGCCGTGGCTGGGGGGCGGCGACTGGGGGCGTGGCTGGGAGCTAGGTCGCCCCTAGGGGCCGATCTAGCACCGGTTCGCCCCCAGGCCGCTCTTTTTCGGCACCCTGGGGGGCTGAACGGCTGGAGATGCTCTCAATACAACAAAAGATGCCCCAAGATAGTTTATTTGCATGTGAAATTTCTCTTCCTTTCACTAATCTTTCATGAATTGTTCAAATGACCAATGTTGTGTTTGTTAAAACAATAGATTTTACTTTCTAAACCCAATGTAAAGTCACTACTTCTCATAAGATAAGCATATGAAATTGAATTGCAATGCTATGATACACAATAATGAAAAAGCAAACAAGATACTCATACATTATTTATTATAGATACTCTCACCAACGGATACAACAACAATACGAAGGAACGATAGCACACATTGCAAAGTATTTCATACAACAACTTTTTCCTAAATCACGATATAACTAAGGATTGAGCTAGTAGATAATGATGATGATAAAGGTGGTGATACGATATCGAGACACCTCTCCCAAGCTTGGAACAATCGAAGGATGGTGCCCATACCCAAGCACTTAGGCTTATTTCCTTGGTGATGGAGCACACTTGTCATCTTTCTTCCAAGGCATAGACTCTCCATCAACAAAAGAAAAAGTAGTCTCCGGGATCCTAAAATTTGCTCACTCCCTTTTTTAGGCCTTCTGATGAGAATGTTTGTCCTCACTCGCTTTTTTTTAGAATTTTTATCCTCATTTTTGTCGTTGTCTAAATCGATTTTTAAAAATATGTCACTCTTATCAAGTGTCTTTGTGAGTCATTGGATTACATTGTTGGTCATTAGAAAAGCAAACATAATTCATTAAATGTCTCAGCATTTTTACATGCTGTCTCCAATTACAACAAAAATAATTATAAAGACTTCTTGAATCCACCCGAGAAAAAAAACCTTATATGTGGGAGGTGGCGGCAATTCATTGTCCTGGTCCTCTCCTCACCTCACAGCTGGACCATCAGACATTCTTGGTACTCTATCGAAATGCTCCGCCTCTAATGCAGTCCTGCTTTGGCTCACATCCGTGGACATGCCAGTGTCGTATTGACTATAATTGTTCAAGTTAGTGTCGCTCCCGGCAGTGTAGAACCTTGCATTCATGTGGTTACGCGCATCCTCAAGCTCAAGGCACTCATGCAGCAAAGCCACGACGTCAGTCATTGTGGGTCGTTGCTCCGGCGCCTGTGCGGTGCATTTCAGGGCAGTATCCGCAACTTTCCATACGCTGTTTACGTCGTGGTCACCGTGCATGTGTATGTCCACTACGGCCTCAATATTGCCACGGGCAAGGCGTTGACGTGCCCACTGGATGATACTCGTCGGCTCAGGGTCATTTGGGATGGGTGGTTGCCCTGTGACTATTTCCAGTAGCACTACACCGAAGCTAAACACGTCACTCTTGCTGGTCAGCTGAAACGTGGCGTAGTACCTGATAAGTATGAAATGCATTAGTGGATCTAGATTCAAGAATAGCCGTACAACATGGTTCTTGAGGGGCAACTTATATTCAAGCCACAAGAATTAACAGTAAAAATCCCGCAGAAATCCGGGGTTTCTTCCTAGATTTCAGCCAGTCACCTGTAGGCCAAATTTCAAAATTTAGGAGCGGGTTATGAATTTAAAGATCCTAGGAGGAAAGGTAGAGCACAAATTTTGAGCATATATGTGTGTTATAATATTTTTTCTATTGATTAATAATACACATGATGTCCTCGAAGCATAATCACAAAGAATTTACAAAGCTGCACTTACTCGGGGTCAACATAGACGGGTGTGCCAACCACCCTGGCCGTGGAAACATGGGTATCACTGTCGTTATTGAAAGCCTTGAGCAATCCGAAATCGGCGATTTTTGCCTCCAAATTTGTATTTAGCAAAATGTTGGACGTCTTCACGTCCCTGTGAATGAGGGGTGGATTGCACCCCTTGTGCAGATACTCAAGCCCTGCGGCCATCCATCCACATCACAAGCCATCAACCACACCAATTCGGAATTTCTTTCTTTATGAAATTACATGAATAAAACTTTGACATAAAGCTTACCTTGGGCAGATTCTAGGGCAATTAGAAGCCTCTGTCTCCAGGATAAAGTTCTAGTGTTGTTGTCTTTACCTGCGACGTAAAAATAATGAGGTAAATCACATTTACTACAAATTTTGCAGCTTTGCTACATGTTCTCACTTTTACAACTATCGTATTTATGTTACTGAAAGCATGAAATTTGAATGATTACAGTATACCTCTAAGATGTTCGTCCAGGGCTCCTTCAGACATGTACTCGTACACAAGAACCATGTACTCTCTCTCCTTGCAGTAGCCAAACATTGACACAAGATTCTTATGATGAATTTTAGCCAAGCTCTGAGCCTGAACACGAAATGATACATGCATTACAAAACTGAATCTAGGAGCATGCATTAGTTACACCTTGACCAGATCTCATTAATTCTCACCTCTGCGAGGAATTCTTGTACGCCTTGGTTGGAAGATTCAGACCGCAGTTTGACAGCCACTTGGGTGCCATCCTCCAAGAAGCCATCATAGACTTTCCCAAATCCTCCTCGGCCCACCACTCGTTGGAAGCCATTCGTGATGACCTCTAATTCACTGTACGTAAATCGGCGACTTTCGAGTCGCAACGAGGTGTGTCCATAGTTGTCAATAGACTCGTTCTGTGGCCTGACACTATTTGTTGTTGTTCCTTGAGAGTTAAACACCGACAAACAAACTAGTGTTAGGTAACAGCTAAGGTAGCATTCCCGAGTTCAGTGTTATGTGTTTCTCACCTTGCCTTCTCTTTCGCATGCAAAGGAGTAGTATAGACAGAAGCACAATTATCAGTACTACAAATATGGGAACAACTATATGGACAACAACCATAGATCTGGGCTTCTTTTTCGGAGGCTGACATGAGTTGCCATTACTGCAAAGGTTTGGATTATTACCATATCTGGCAAAATAAAAATGATGAGTAATGGTAATGTTGATCAAGTAAGATGTATTAGATACTTTTTGAAGAAAAATCTTTTTCATAAGGTCTGAGAAATCTCATTGGAAAATTCTTCTAGAGGTTACCAAGTACCAACCTAAGTGTTAGGGAGTCATCTTGAGTTCTCTTCAGCAGCCCGGAAGGAATTGATCCACTGAGTTGATTGCCTGTCAAATCTCTGGAAGGAGATGAAGTAGATTTCAATGTCAAAATAAGTAATGTATGTGTTGAATAAATTTGGCCTTTTTTTGAACTACACCACAAATTACTTACAGAAGTGTGAGGGACGACAACTGCGAAAGGGTGTCGGGAATGGAGCCCATCAGATTGTTACCTGACAAATCCCTGCCAATTAGCAAAATCCCGAATAAGGAAGTCATTATTACTTCTAAAAAGATCATACAATGTGGAATAATTGGTTTAACATCTCCTACTTACAAGTATTGTAAACCTTTGAGACTTGCGAAAGAAGATGAGATGTTGCCACTCAGACCACTGGAAGATAAATTCCTGCATTGTGTCAGATATTTCCGGTTATTGGTACTAATTAATAATCCAATACTGGTTCCTGTAATGAAATTATAGTACTAGTTTTACCCAAAATTATACATCGAACTAAAATAACTCACAAGCCTGTGATAGTTGGTGGCCTAGAAACAGCATAGCCACAATGCAATCCGTTCCACGCAAAATTCTTGGGGGCGCACGGATCACCCATCCAGTTCTTTTTCATCTGGTACATGTCTCTGATGGTTGTCATGGCAGAAACTGTAACATATAGAAACCACTTAGGATCATGGACATATGATCCTATATACATATAAAACGGTTGAAATATGACTGCACCATGCATCCGGACATAACTGCTTACTTTCATGAGTGGTGGTGGCTAAGCCAGTGGTGGGGACGACCGAAAAGATCTCCAAAGCGTTGAGGATTGGCGGGAGCGTGGAGTTGGTTGTGGCCTCCAATGAGAAGATGTATTGTTGGGAGGCATAGTCGGGTTTTTCGTTATAGAGTACGGTCGTCTCGAGGTACTTCAGGCCGCGAGGTTTCGTGTCCCAGGGCTTGTCATTGAGCTTGACGTAGAATTGGCGGAGGGCGTTGCTGGGAAGGTGTTGCAGCTCTGCCATGTATAACATGAAAACATACCTACATACACATACATGTGATGAGTTGTACATCAGAACCTGTGTGGATCGGAGTCATGAGAAGATGAACCATGATACAAGTGTGCCAATGATTGTTGTGACGGTGATGATCTCGCAATCGCCGACATGCCATGACTCTAGTGTGCCAATGATTCTAGTGAACTAAATGCACCCGTTCGAAATAAACACGGAGAAGAAAAATGAGAGGAAGGAGAGGAGTTTGGCTTCCACGGCTATATATAGGTGAGATCTCTGATTTTGATTAGGGCTTGTACCAAAAGAGGGAGAAGAGTACTACGCACCCGGGCATTGAATCTTTGGCGCTGGTTACGTCCCAGAAGAAAATGATGGGCGTGGAGGAGTTGATGGACGTGACTCCGGTCTGTGTCACGGTCGACGGCACCTCAAAAAAGTCAATGACACTGTTCTGCACCTCCTTAGTGGTTGAGATCGCCATCCAGGATGGCACGTTCAATGAGATCCATATACGGTCGTGTGGATCGTCTGGGTACCTGATGAATCACTCAGCATCAATCAAACATGTAAACTTATATTATATCTCTAGTTATAGTTATCTATGAATTCCTCTCGCGATGCTTGCGTGATTACCTAAGGTTCGCGCTTGCGCCGACATTGGCCCTGGTGGCAAGAACCAGCGCCTGAGACATATCTGATTGTGGGTAGAGCTTGTTCTTGAGAGGCCTCAGCTCGAGGCTGGAGATGAACGGCGTCCCAGAGCCAGTGTTGACGAGGCACACTTGAACGGAGTCACCAGAGATGACGGTGATGATCTCGGCGATTACAGGCATGTCACCGTCTGTGATGTTCACGGTCTGCCAATAGTTGACGCCTATGTGGATGTCGAAGATGGGCCACCTGTTGAGGCGCCCGTCGTAGTTGCCGTGCTTGAATAGCGCCCGGATGAGATACTTGAGCCCCGGCACGAGGGAGCGGAGTGTGTAGCAGTTTCGCAGGCCATCGGGGAAGCTGCGCACGCTGCGCCAGATCTTGCCCGTCGTCGGTGTGACATACTCGGCCGAGATGTTGTGGTTGGTGCCGGTGTTAGTGAAGCCGGCGTCTGTGGCGTAGGAGAGCTTGGTGGTGCTGTCTATGTAGCCCGTTTTCCCCGGAAGACCGCAGTCTATGCTTATGAAACCTGCATATGAGCATAGTAGTTGCAGAGACTGATCGATGAAACAATATTTGTGCAGCAACCGTATACGATGCGCTCACCTAAGCTATCGGCCTGCCCATGGACTTGAAGAACCGCGCTGCCGGCGACACCGAGAAGAAACAAGAACAGCCACCGTGCCGTCATGTCTCTTGATCTCGGCGTTGGTGCCTCCATTACACTCGATCTTGCACAATATTTGTATGCACGTCTAAGTCTAACAGCAATTTTCGCTATATACATACTCGGTTAGAGTTAGGGAAGGTGATCACATGGGACGGAGCGCGGTGGGTTGACTTGCATATCACGCGAGTCAGTCAACCGCCTCGCTGGGCTCATGGCCAGGGATGCCCCAAGATTCAGCTTAATTGAAATCGTGGACTTTTGACGGTTTCTTCCACGATTGTAGCGGCGGACAGCTTGTTTAACCTCTATGATTAATGGTTCGGCGAATTCCTGTGGACAAGCTCGTGCCACTCACAGATCGATACTGATTTCTCGTCATCGTGCACATGCATGCACGTTATTAGTCTCAGAGTGTTTAGTTAGAGCAAGCTGCATCCTGCATGGACTGTCTTGGAGCATGTCCTCGAGCAGCTCAAGTAAACTACTGCTCTACACATGCGGTACGGTGACTTTTTTTTTTTTTGATAAAAACAGCCCCTCTTTCTTTATTAGATTTTTTTTCGATAAAGGGCGCTTTTATTATCTCAAAATGTAGCATCAAAGTGATACAAAGCATTAAGAGTATCACCCGGCCTCTGCATAACTAGGATGCACACAGCCAAACACCAGTAGTCTGATAAACAAAAAGATAAAAGACCGACAATTCGGCAGCAGTAGAGTCCATAGACCGACACTATGCCTATGTCGAAAGAGATGGTGGACCGAGCCGGAGATTATGCTGCCATCCATGTTGGGTAAAAACCTCCGTAGCCACCTGCTCCAACAGCGTACACACCGCCTTGAATAGCGGTTGGTACTCCGCTCGTTGTAGCGTACACCACGTACGAAGCGAGTGCGTACAACGGAAAATAACCTGCAAAGAAGAAACAGTTTTGTCATTAAAAACAACATTATTTCTACATAGCCAAAGCGACCATAATAAGGCATACGCTCCCACCCTTATTAGCGTTTTGTATGCATTTGAAATACCGTCCAGCCAATGACCAAAAATATTGGCAACACTTGTGGGTGGATACAAATTTGACGCTATTTGGATGGCTGACCACGTAGAACGCGCAAACTTACAGTGAAAAAAGAGGTGTTTAATTGTCTCGTCATGAGTACAAAAACAACACTTTTTACTTCCCGACCAGTTGCGTCGTGCGAGGTTGTCTTTTGTTAGCACAATTCCCCTACGGAGATACCACATGAATATTTTGACTTTAAGTGGTACCTTCGCTTTCCAATTTTTTTTGTTATTACTCACCGGTACCTCAGAATGCGTGAGTGCACGATACATAGAGTCTACTGTGAAAGACCCCGATGTAGTAAGGTTCCAGCGAAACACATCACGACCTTGTGTTAGGATAATCGAATCCAGACGGGACAATAGATTATTCCATGACATAAGTCGGGTGCCAATTAAATCCCGCCTGAACGAAATATTTGGCGGTGATGAGCTGAGCACTTGTGCAATAGTATTATTCTTATCGCGTGCAATGTTGTATAAGGCTGGGTACTGTTCTCGGAGGCTAGCATTGCCTAGCCAAATGTCTTCCCAAAACCGAATCTCTGACCCATCCTTTATTGCAAAAGAGCCAAAGCGAAAGAGATGTTTCTTTGCCGCCATTAGGCCGGCCCAAAAGTGTGAGTCTCCAGGTTTCCAATATACCTGAGACACTGCCTTTTGGCCTATATACTTATTGCGCAGCATGGTTTGCCAAACACCATCCTCAGTAAGAAGTTTGAACAACCATTTACTAAGTAGGGCCTCATTCTTGACCTGCGGGTCATGAATACCGAGGCCGCCCTGGTCTTTCGGCCTACAAACCACACTCCATTTGGCCAACCTATATTTTTTCTTTTCACCATCTCCTTGCCAAAAGAACCTGGACCTAAAATAATCCAATCTTTGCAAGACCCCCTTTGGGAGCTGGAAGAACGAAAGCATATAGAGGACCATATTTGTGAGGACAGAGTTTATTAAAACCAGTCGTCCTCCAACCGAGAGCAACTTGCCTTTCCAGCTGCTCAAGCATTTCTCTAGTCGCTCCTCTACATGCTTCCACTCCGCAATGGTGGACGCCGATAATGAATTGGTATTCCCAAATATTTAATTGGGAATTGTCCATGTGCACAACAAAAAAGGTCAGCATAATCGGCCGCTGCATCAACAGCTTCTCCAAAGCAGAACAATTCACTTTTATGGAAGTTAATATTAAGACCCGACATTTGCTCAAACGCTGACAGCAAAAGCTTCAGGTTTCTAGCCTTGTCTAGGTCATGTTCCATAAAAAGAATTGTGTCATCGGCATATTGCAGAATAGAGAGACCACCATCCACTAGATGTGGCACTACTCCTGTAATCTGTCCGTCCTGCTTGGCGCGCTCAATCAGAATAGCCAACATGCCAGCCACAATGTTAAATAACATTGGGGATATGGCATCACCCTGTCGTAGTCCTTTTTTTGTCTGAAAGTAATGGCCGACATCATCATTGACTTTAATGGCCACACTACCGCCAGTTACAAAATTTTGGATCCACTTGCACCATTTATCGGAGAAGCCTTTCATCCTTAGGGCCTGTTCGAGGAAAGACCATTTGACCTTGTCATAGGCTTTTTCGAAGTCTATTTTGAATACTACTCCACTCATGTTTTTTTGGTGCATCTCATGGACGGTCTCATGCAGGATTACTACGCCATCGAGTATGTTCCTTCCTTGCATGAAAGCTGTTTGAGATGGCCGGACAACATGGTCAGCTACCGAGTTTAATCTATTCATCACCACTTTGGTGAAAATCTTGAAGCTGACATTAAGGAGGCATATGGGTCTGAACTGTTGAATCCGTTCGGCCTCCTTAATCTTCGGCAACAAGACAATCTCGCCAAAATTAAGTCTGAATAGGTCAAGTCGGTCGGCATGAAAACAATTGAACAACTCTAAAAGGTCAGACTTGATGATATCCCAGAAATTCTGATAGAATTCTGCGAGGAAACCATCAGGGCCTGGAGCTTTGTTATGTTCCATTTGGAACACCGCAGCTCGCACCTCCTCTTCTGAGAATGGTGCCGTTAGGATATCGTTTTCTTCTGCCGTGACATGTGGAATATCATCTGTTCGGGTCTCATCAAGGGTGAAATTCCCTTCAGTCGGCGCTCCGAAAAGAGATTTGTAGTATTTGGTGATATACTTTTTGAGCTCCTCCTGACCTTCGATCCTCCCCTCATCTTGTTGGAGACTATAAATACATTTCTTCCTATGCCGCCCATTGGCGACCAATTGGAAGTATCTTGTATTACTATCACCCATTAAAATGAAGTCAGTTTTGGATCTCTGGTAGTATTTGATCTCCTCTTCTCGCAGTAGACGGGCAACCATCTCATTAGATTGATTTTTGAATTCAATCTCTTGCTGAGATAATGTGCGCGTCTCTGCAATTTTGTCGAGGTCATCAATGATGGTACAGAGCCTTTGTTTTTCCTTTTTATAAATTCCGTTGGTGTGTTTTGCCCATCCAGAGAGGTGTCGCCTCATGGCTCTTATTTTAAAGATCCATCGCTGAATAGGTGTACGACCAACAGCGGGCCTCTCCCAAACATTCTTGATCATGTCTACGAATCCCTCCCTATGCAGCCATCCCAATTCAAATTTGAAAGGGCGCCGGGTGGCTGGGTTCGTAGAGTTAGAATCCAGAATGATGGGTGCATGATCCGATAAGGCCTCGATACGCTCTAGGGCTCGCACGGTTATCATAGGAAATTTTAGTTCCCATTCGGTATCCATTAGTACCCAATCGAGCTTCTCGTATGTCGGCACAGATCGGTTGTTTGCCCAAGTGAACTGACGACCCGACATACTGGCCTCCCGAAGATCCAAACTGTCTATCACAGCATTGAATAGGAAAGGCCAATGAGTGTCGAAGCGGTCATTATTTTTCTCTTCCTGGTACCTCAGAATGTTAAAGTCCCCTCCAATAAGCATTGGGTACGGGTTATTCTTAGCCAGGTTAACCAATTCCCGAAGGAAAGCAGATTTATGCTCATCTTGGGCAGCCCCATAGACAGCGACAAGAGTCCATGTAAAATTGTCAGCTCTATTCCGCAGGTGAAATTTTATATGAAATTCACCGATCGAAAAAGCCAACAAGTCCATGGTTGTTGTCATTATCCCAAGAAGGATTCCTCCAGATCTTCCACGAGCTGGTAGACTATGCCATGCGTAGTCAAAACCACCTGATAGGTGATCGAGGACATGCGGGCGAAAGTCACACTTGCCAGCCTCAGAAATTGCCACAAAATCCAAACCGTGTTCCCGGACACAATCACTGATGTGTTTATGTTTAGCCAAGTCTGAAAGACCTCTGCTATTCCAAAACATGCCTCTCATGTGGAAACTCGGGTTTGTGTTGAACTCTTCGCCTTCTTGGGCGGTTTTTGTTTCTTTTTGGAGGAGTGTGATTTAGATTTCCGCGAAGACACTGTGAAGTCACAAAACATGGACCCAGGTTTTGCATCATCCAATCCAACCTCGGTAACCTCATCAACCAAGTGGGATATAAGCGGACCATCATATTTGGCATCCGCTTCATCATCCTCCTCGGTTTCGGGGTCAGATATGGTGGTTTTACATTTCGGAGAAACCTTTAAGCGGTCGATCTCCATATGTTTAAGCACCCATACAGACAAATTAATTCCATTGTCATTATTTCCCATAGATACACCGACTTTATTTAAACTAGTAGAAATATGGTTGTCGGACAAAGAGAGAAGTGACTGACCGGACGAGGTACCTGTCATGGGGTCCAAATTCCTCGAAGCCTGGATGCGCATTGCCTTCGCAAGAGAGTGCTCATCAGTCGAGGAAGAACCATCAGCATTGAGGGAGTGACGGTTACTACATCGCAGGGGTGTAGCCAATCCTCCGGACATAGTCCCCGTCAAAGTCTTCGACGGAGTAGTTGATGTAGTCCTCTGCAAAGCAGGTGCTGTCCGAAGCGTCCCAATGGTTGG